AGTCTGATTTCCCTGTCGAAGCTGAAGGAGTTGGGCCTCCGCTGACAACTCGCCGCTGGGGGGAACAAAAGCCTTCCTTAGCTCGGCCACAAAAACATCCTAATCGTTGCAGGCCTCCGACTTCTTAGGCTGCGGCCCACTCCTGAGCTCGGCTGGTGAGGAGGGAGGTGAGCAGCGCCACGCAGGAGCGGGCTGTGGCATAGCGGTGGGGCTGACACTCGAAGGTCATGGCGAGTGTGGCTAACATGCCTTCAGGGGAGCCGTACGATCCGTCCCACTTCTCTGGCAGGCTAAGTATCAGTTCCTCCCGTTCTCTGGAGGTTCGCTGCTGCTGCGGCGCAGTGGAAAGCTGGAGAACCACTGTGGCGATGGACTCCACTTTATCAGCTAGGCGACCCAGAGAAGCTCCCATATGGGCCACCTGTGATCGCAGGGCCTCAAACTCCGCTGGGTCAATGTTGGACTCAGTCATCCTGTTAGGCCTGACTTGAGCTGAGCGGGACCGGAGCGAGAGTTTGGATTGTAGCGTGTATTTATGACCCAAGCGTGGAGTGACTGACGCCGGGCAGATAGACACGCGTTTGCTCTAGGAGCCAAACCGTAACAGGCTAGTGAGCACGGCGGCTCCAAAAGGAAACAAGGTGACTTACTATAAGTCGGCAGGGTGAGTAGCTTGGGCTGGTCTGGTCAGAACTGGTTAGAGTAGGAGTAGGTAGGATTCGGTGAGGACTCGGAACATAGTCTGGTTAGGATCGGTGACTGATCGTGACTGATCCTCTTTTTTTCAACATTCTGCTAACTTGAATTATTAGGGGGATATCTAGATAGATTATTATTATTTTTTTCCTCCACCCGAACCAATCCTCATGTAACCCTCTGATCTCTATTAAGGTAGCGCGACTCAGCTAGGGTTACGATTGCGAATGACCACAGTCACCAGTTCTTGTCATGTAACTTTGCATATGTATGTCTGATCTCTGAATTGTGTGTACTGAAACTCTAATTTCCCTCTGGGATTAATAAAGTATCTTTGAATTGAATTGAATATGTTTCACAGCAGCTATGTTGACTGTATATATATAATGAATGAACCCTTCCACGCCATCACCTGTAGGGTTTTGAAGAGCTGAATTGAAGCCCAATGAGTGGTTTCAACCAGCACCATCTTGGCCGCGTCATGCGTCTTGTCACTCCCAGAAAATACAAACATGAAGCTGAGAGCAGGGCTGTAGGGTGGGACAAGAGGATTGACACCTTCAAAATATATAAAAGCAATGTGGCTTTTAGCTAACTGAGCTAATCTAACGGATGTTGGCGGGCGCTATTAAGCGAGTGACTCAGCTACCATCGCCCTAGGCTGTAACACTCTTATCATGAGGCTGAGGCCTTCCCTAGAACAAGCCTCGAGCAAGTCGCTTGTGCTAGTGCTGACTCATCTTTTATGGTCAATCAAAAGGACACGCCCCTAATCAGTCATGATTTTAAGCTTTAATTACATTTAAACATGTGAGGTTAAAACAAATTCACCCCTCTCAGTGTTGTGATGACGATAAACTTGACCTTTTAAAAATAAAATGTTTATATACCAGGCTGTAAACATGTTTATTTCTGCTATGAAGTTGGCATTTTTAAAAAGGGAGTGAATGGGAATTTGCTCCTTTCTGGAGCCAGCCCCTAGTGGACGAGGCAGGAACTGCGACATTAGTCACTTCTGCTTTGTCTTCCCTTTTGGCAGACGGAGTTTCCCCCTTGTGACGAAGTGAAGTTAGAAAGACTAAACAAGAGGACTTTTATGTTTTTATCCTTCATCCTGGAAACCACAAGCACAAGCTGAATGGTTTCCTTTCAGATTTGTAGAACATTTTCTTTGGTCATAAGGTTGTTGAATTTGAGTTAATGCTACATACTGAATGTTAAACTGTTAGTGAAAAATAGGGGTGGGCTTGAATAAGCTTAGCTTCCGCCCACTCCCTTTCAAACATGCCTACAATAATGTCAACTTGATTTATTATTGATTCATCTTGTGAGGTTTATTATTGATTTATATCCTGTTGTTAATTGTGATGTTATTGGCATGCAAAGGCTTACGTCTCGGCCCGGCCGCTCCGGTCCTCATAGGATTGTCGGCTAGCAGTGCCTACACCACGCTCAGGACAATCCAGACTTTTCTCATGCATCGTTCCACAAATGTGGAATGACCTTCCTAACACTACCAGAACTGCGGCTTCCTTTTCTATTTTCAAGAAACTCCTGAAGACCCTGCTCTTCAGAGAGCATCTTCTTAACTAGCACCTTGCCTGCACCCGTCCCCCCTCTCTACAGTCCACTCCTTGTTCCCTCCTCTCCATGACTGATGTCAATTTGTTGTTGTTACTATTGTTGTTATCCTCAAGGGCAAAATGCCGATTATCACTTATAAGTCGCTTTGGACAAAAGCGTCTGCTAAATACATAAACATAAACATAAACATGTTGGAAATAAATGATGATGATGATGATGATGATGATGATGCTACATAAAAAATATATCAGTAGTGAAATATCAATAACGATTTTAGATGCGTAGAGATCATTTCCTTAATAAATGCCAGTTGAAACCTTCCCCAAGCTCAACAATTTCCTTCTTTCTGTTTTCTGTTTGTTCTCGTTTCATTCTAAATCTTATCATCTGTTCACGAGCATCCCCTCCTGTCTTTCTCTGCCCTGTTGGTGTTGCCTCCACTTGTCGTTGAAAGGCTATTGTTGATTAAGCATCCAGGAGAGAGCAGAGTGTGTCTCAGCTAGTAGAAGCTAACTGTTAGCATTAGCAACTCCACAACATGGGAAAAGTCCTTGTGGAAAAAAAAACATTAATGTTGCAAATCAAACTGAGTCAGTGGTAGAGTGGCATTGCTGTTAGCCAATCACAGGCGAGATGTCAGAAAATCAGGAAATAAGACTCCAAAACGACCATCTTCTGCTAGCCCACTAGTCCGGCTAACTTCTACTTCCTGAAACAGGAACGTGGCAGCTTTTTTTTTTACTACAGAGATCGACTCACAAGGCATTCTTTTTCATTAGAGATCAGACCACTGCAAATGTATTGAAAACAAATTTGTGAAATTGGCCTTTTAAAAGTTGTTGTCTCTCCATAGGATTCTAATTTTAAAAGCAGTGAAACTTTGATGCTAAAAGTGAGCGAAAAACGCTGCAGTAGCATGCATAGAAAAAAAAAGAGTTAGACTCATCAAAAGTTACATGAATATCTTGTCAAACAACGTAGCCTTTATCAGTTACGGCATATACAGTACTTGGACATGTGTGCACATAGTCTCACATTTCATCCTCTTCACACCCACATTCAACCATGATCATTTTGTTGATTCTCAGAAATGAGCCTGATCTTTAGTTCATTTCAATTTGAAAATTTTCCTGAATTTTAATTCCATTTGGATTTTTTCCCACCCAGAAACCATGTAGAAATGTGTTTCCTTTCAGTGTTTTTATGATTCAACAATGTAAATATGACTATAAATGTACGTGTTTAAGTCACACCCTCTCCAAACAAGTAATTTTGTGTCCTGTTCTGTAGTTTTGTAAAGTAAATCTACATTATGTTATAATTTTAAACCAATAGATATAGTTTTCAGCCAATTTAAAAGGATTTAAAGGGAAAAAAATGAAGAATTTTAAAGAAATTTGCAATATGCATCTTACTTCACACAAACTGTCACACTTCAGAAATGTTAAAAAAGGTATGATGTGAGCAGCTCAGTCCAGAGTGCTACATAATTTTTTCAGATCCCATTTGATGCTTTCTGATGAGTGATGTTGGTTGTTTGGAGGGCCTATACGCAGCAACAAGTGCATATACTGCCACAATCATTTTTATCACGCAGAACTCACCTTTCGCATAGTTTTTTGCTGTCATGTGTGTCTGCCTCTATAAAGACTCCAAATGTAAAAACACCCGTCCATCTGTTTTTTGTCAGTGTTTAGTTTTATGAATAATTTGCTTGAAATAATCCATTTCAAAAAGTACCCATTTTTTATGTCACAAATGGATAAATTAGAACAGAACCACCTCTCACAAGCAAGAGAGATCCACTGATGAAGGAGCAGCAGCTCTACTCTGAGCCCCTCCCAAATATGGGAGCTTCTCAGCCTAAAGCAGCCTGAGTGGGAGACGGGTGGGTGTCGCCAGCTCCAGCTTGTTTTCTTTAAGACAGAGCCATGAAAAGGCTCATTCTCGAAGGTACTGAAAGCGATCAAAGTAAAAGTACTGAAATTGTTTCATGTTGAAAGGGATTCAGTGCAAAGAACTTCATACACATTTTTATATCAACCATAGAACTATTGTAACGTAAGAAACCAAGTCATAATATGTCGCTTTACATTCCAAATTATAATTTCATGACCTGTTTGGTTTTCACCACTCGTGTAACTTGTGAGCAGCACCTTTTATTCAATAAATACATTTCAAATAACAGGTACAGAGCCTCAAACATGCACCATTAACAATAAAATGGGCTTGATCTTGTTGGACCAAATGTTTTTTTTTTTCCTTTTTTTTCCAGAAAACTGGTATCATTTGTTGTCCTGTCGTTTCTGGTACTTGACACCTGCCTCCTGATGACAAAGCACACATCAAGAAAAACCAGAATAGTAACTGTCAATTAGTAATATATCCTCATGAGGAGGTCAGGGGGGAAATTAATATGATTCAAAATAGTTTTAATGCAGACATATTGTTTGTTAGAAAAAATATATTTGGTGTTACAGTGAAAAAAATTCCCCAAATATATAAATCTGTGTGTGTGTGTGTGCGTGTGTGTGTGTGTGCGTGAGTAAATAGGTTTGATGCCATTTTTACTGACGTACACAAACACCGTAAACACATGAGGGCATGCACATAAGAACTGCAAACAGAAGCACGGAGAAGTCCTGCTGCACAAACAGCTAAAAAGCACTCGTCAAACAGGTCGTTTGGGAATGGATGGGTAGGTGGAGTAGAGGGAAAACTGAGGGAGGTGCAGGAGGAGAAAGACGCCCTTTAAAACGCAGAACAAAACTTTTGTTGTATCTCATTCTGGAGGAAACACACACGTGCAGAAGTCTGGGCTATGGCTTCCACCACTTCAGCTGATGTTCTGCCTACAGGCACCAGGATTTTCACCACATTTCCTGACATCTTCTTCATCCCTGAGTTTGTGAGTTTTTGGAATTATTTTTATCCATCATGTGAAGTTTCTTTTGTTTAAGATCTCAGATTAAATCTTTCTCCTCATATCTAATCAGAGCGGATTCGTTCAGGTTAGCATCACTTTGATCATGTTTTCTTCCTCTCTTTGTGTCCCTCCTAAGAAGAAGTGAGTCACCAATGAGATAAACATCCGTTGTATTATGTTTGCTTTGCAGGACTCAGTATTTGATTAGAGCAGCTCAGAAAGTTCCAGGACCGGCTAACCAACGGTGAAGATCAGAGGAGCTGATAGGATTTATTTGGTCAAACATTGCAGATCGATAGTTTGTCAATGTTCTTTTTTTTAATCAGGTTAAGAAATCACAAATGTAATCATCATATCATCCTGACAGCTATTTCTGCACCATTTACTGTATCTGAAAACAGGTTTCCTTAGCAACAAGAACACATCAACCAAAATCAGTTTACATCAACTAGAGAAACCCTTTTATTGGGTTAAGAAAGCAACCTGAGTCGTTATTTCAACCTAAATTAAGCCTGTTTCTTAGCTTCTAAAAACAAAATGTATAATTTTAGCTGAAATAATTCACTCAAAGCCAGTTTTACTAAGTGACTTATTCCACATAAGTAAGAAAATAGAAATCAAAGGTTCTAGTTTTCTTTTTCCCCACAAGTATTAATTTTTTTCTGAGCATGAAGATTTAAGATAAAATCTTTGAGGCTCAGGTGGAAAAACACCTGCGGCACCCAGATGTTGTTGCAGAGCAGGGTGTAAATCTAAACCAGCCATCAGCTTACAAGGTTTTTTAACCGCCTTACACAAGATGATCTTCTGCTCTGGAATGGAAATGTACTAAACCTGTAAGTTGAAGCCAACCCAAAAGGTGCACAGGAGATAAATTACATTATTTATGTCAGCCTAGGCTGGAGCTGAGTGATGATAGGTCACTAAAGCACACCCTGTTTTCACCTATTTTACCCAAAACTGAATAATTTACTAAATAAACATGAAGATGAACAGAATAAACTAAAAGCCTGACAAAAATTTGATCAGTTGGGTTTATGTTTCCTTCATGTGTTTAGCTGTGAGGGAGGAAGTCACACCCTGATATAATTAGAAAATATCAAAAACATAGAAAAGTGATACAATATTTTACCACAGCACATTCATGCAGTCAGTTATTTAAAGTTAAAATATGGAACATTTTAATAAAAAGCTCATATTTTAAATGGTAAATGGCCTGTATTTGATATAGTGTCTTCTAGAGTCCTGCGACCCCCCCAGGGTTTCCCCCAGCGCTTTATAAGCCTGGTGGCCCGCCAGGCTTAGCTTGGCCACCTGCCAGGCTAAGCGTCATGTCCCGCCCCCTCCCCGACCCTACTGTGTTCACTGATACGAACGGTGCAACAAAACTAGAGCCCTCCATCAGCTGATACTGGTGAGAAACAGCAGCAGAAAGTGTACAAGCACCCCACCCCCGCTCTCACGGAGGAGCGGTGCGGGACGGAGCTTGGGGCCAATGAGGGTGGCTAACTACCTGAGCAAACCTGCAGCTAACAGAGGTTTTGGGGCACTTTTAGCCAGAAAAGCATGGTTGAGCGACTCAGAAGTGAAGCACACATCAACTCAAAAAGCTGCAGTTTTTCTGTTGTCTTCCTCAGAGAGCACCACAGGCAGCCGGGACGGCCACAGCCTCGCGTGGGAGCCGGGCAAAGCAGCTGCTGTCTCTGCATTGTTATCCACACCCTCATCTTCTCACGCTTAGACTACTGCAACTCTCTTTTCACTTGTCTGAGCAAAACTTCCCTGAACCGTCTACAGGTGGTTTAGAATGACTGTGCTCAGCTTCTGACCAAATCGAAAGACGGGAAAAGCCCGGTGCCTGCATCGCTTGGCTGCCCCTGGGAGGATGGAGTGGTAGATTCGTGGGTCTCTGACTGCAGGGCCGCCACTGCTGAAGGGAGAAACGTGGTACCAAAATTTAGTTAACCTCCCTTCTGCAGCGGCGACCTCGCTGATCTTTGACCACAGTGGACCAGCAGGGCCCGGAAACCTCCGCTAGCCTCTGTTAGCTTACCTGGCTTCGGTTTCATTACCCAGCCAGCCCCACCAACATGTTATATTTTAACCCATCTTTGACCAAGCAATGTTAAATGCACAGCGTTTCCCCCCAGTCAACCAGCAAAATAAAGAAGACAAACATAATTTTACTCACTAATAAATATGAAGCAGAGACTTCTTGGATGATCTCTTAGTGCAACCAACACCACAGCTTGCCCTCTTTGTCCAAATAATTATAAGATTAACATCAAAACATGAACACAAACACACAGACAAAACTTAAGTTCAGAGTTGAAATGGCTGAACATCTAGTAACGTCAGGCCGAGGCTGAGGCCATCCTCGGAGCTAGCCGCTAGCTCTGATGCTAATGCTATCTATGAATCAAATCTAATTATTCATAATTTCAAGCATTTAACTACACCTAAACAGAAGAGTCACAAAAAAAGTCACCCCTGTCAGAGTTTTAACGACTGTAAACTTGACCTATTAAACCTAAAATCTTGAACCAGGCTGAAAACATGTTTATGTCTGCCGTGAAGTTTTTAACATTAGTCAATGAGAATTTGCTCGTTTCTGGTGCCAGCCCCTAGAGGATAATGGGAAGAACTGCAACATTTATCATTTCTGTGTTGACTTCAACATTGGGGCCCTCAGGTTCCCGCTTGGTTTGGACAGCTGATTTTGAAATGGTAAAGCACCAGTGATTGTATGTAATGTAATGATTCCACAGTTGCACGGGCTGCTCTCTTTCCCTTCCTCTTGCATCACTGTCAGGTAGTTGAACCTTTCATATTTTCACTTTTTTCCAACAAACACGTATTTTCACGAAAAAGTGAAGGAAACTTTAAATCATAACAAATACTTGAGTCAATAAAACAGTCTCTACTTCACTGGTTCACCTACTGTGGTACATTCTTTCGTGTAGCAAACACATTTAAAATACCTGAAGCCATAAAATCATTCATGAGAGAAGAAATGTTTTTAAATTACCTAAAGATAAAATCCTGCAGTTAACAGAATGTAAAATACTGAGAAATATGTGCAAAGCCATTGTTTGCTCTAGAGCTTAGCACATTCTTCTCCAGCAGGTTGAATGGTGACCAAACAGCTTAAGAGGAGCTCGTGAATAGATGGTTCAGCCTTTGATATGCCTGCTTGCACGGCTCATTAAATCTATTGAGCTTCAACAATCTCTCATCAAAAAACATTAATCCATACAGTGATGATTTGATACTGAATCGATTTAAAAGCTGCTTCAGTGAGTCATTTTTATCAAGTTTCAATCAGGTGAGTAATATTGAAATAAAACAAAACAAAAAGGAAATAACATCTGACAGTTTTTGTAAAAACAACGGCCCAGGTCATGAGCAAACATGTCAGAAGCTTCTGATTTGGTGCGTTTTACTGTACTGATCATAAGTTCTGTACTTGTTCCACCAACGTTTTAGGAAAAGAGAGGAATTATTTACTTTAGCTGTTTTCTTTTGTAGAAGAGAAACCTGTTTTTTAACTTTCAATACAAACTTTTCCCTGGTAATATTTACTCTGGCTTCTCTTCTGCACACCTGACATTTACCTTGTGTTGATTGGCTGATCAGAAACACCTGAATGATGAGCTACAGGTGAGGTACTCAATGTAATATGCAGAGCAAATTGCTGCAGATTCACTAGTCGCTTAGCAAAAACACCGCAGAACAGTATTTATTATCTTTCTTGTTTTCCAATATTTACATGCACATGGCCCCATGACCCTGGGTGGATTAGCGGGTATAGAAATCTTTTAAAGATCATTCTGATTACTGTCTGCTCCCCTCATTTCTCTGTCCCCAAAGGTCTTCGGGGGTTTGGTCTGGATCCTGGTGGCATCAACTTACATTGACCCACCAAACCCTCTGGGCTGGGTGATGTTTGTGTCCATCTTCTGCTTCATCGGGACAACTCTGTGGTTCTTCATCTTCCTCTGTGGAGGAAATCAGAGCAGCATCTGGCCTGGCTTGGTTAGACACTCCTACTCTTTATACAAGAGACTCAGGGACTGACAGACAGACAGACAGCTAGAGATAGATAGATGGATGAAGAAGCTTTTGCACAACTTCATCCATTTAGATCTGTTTTAGATTAAGGAAGCAAAATTAGTCATATTAAAAAAAAGAAGGAAACAGAAGAAAAAATTTCTTTCTCTGTTAATTTGAACCCTCATTTCCCCTTTTTTCTCTCTCTCCTCTTCCAGGATGCCGGTTTCCATCATGTAGCGGTGGTTTTCTATCTCAGTGCATCTGTGATCTTGGCGTACATCACCTTCACTAATGTACAGAAGGACATTAAAATCTACAGACTGGATATTGCTGCAGTGGTATGTGAAAACAAAGCTTTGTTAAGATCGACAACTTGATTCCTGCAAGCCCTAACAATTAACCCAAACATTTGAGATTCAAGATTTGAATCACGTAAACGTCTGCTAATTTCATCCCGTTTCAACAGAAACTTTAAATACTTTAAAGGTTTGGGCTTTATCTTTCACATAGGCTTTATGTTTTAAAACAGAAACCCTAATGTTACTAAAGGGTTTCTTTTTATGTCATAATAAAAATAAAAAAATCCCTTATTTAAATCCTAAGAAGTTGCAGCAAGTATAGGATTTACTTGCAGCTTGTAAACAGCAGCAGGTCAGAGTTGAGCTGAACTATTTCACATAATTATTCCACTAAATCACATAAAAAGTGCAGGAACATCTGGATCAAACACCAAGTTCCTGGGAACTGGAGATCATTTCTTTATCCAGAAAAAACAGACTCGTTCCAGAATAAGATAATAAAATGATCACATTCTCTTAAACATGGACATCTTTTTTTGGGGGGATGGGCACCCTCACACACTTTTTCCCAAGTCAATTTTTGTCCCCTGCACTTTTTACCATCAATAAAAAATACACTATATTAAATAGACACTGGTTGAGCACTAGGACCAAGCGGAAAGTAAACAAGGAAACTTTTTTTATTTGGCACTTATAGGGTTGGACTCCGCCAGGGCTGCCCTTTGTCACCGGTTCTGTTCATTACCTTTATGGACAGAATTTCTAGACGCAGCCGTGGTGTGGAGTGTGTCGAGTTTGGCTGCAGGAGAATCTCGTCTCTGCTTTTTGTGGATGATTAGGTCCTCCTAGCTTCATCCAGCTCTGACCTTCAGCTCTTGCTGGGTAGGTTCGCGGCCGAGTGTGAAGCGGCTGGGATGAGGATCAGCACCTCCAAATCTGAGACCATGGTTCTCGACCGGAAAAGGGTGGCTTGCAACTCCGGGTTGGGAGAGAGGTCCTACCTCAAGCGGAGCCGTTTAAGTATCTCGGGGTCTTGTTCACGAGTGAGGGTAGGAGGGATCGGGAGATCGACAGGGGGATCGGTTCAGTGTCTGCAGTGATGCGGACGCTGAGCCGATCTGTTGTGGTGAAGAGGGAGCTGAGCCAGAAAGCCAGGCTCTCGATTTACCGGTCGATCTACGTCCCAATCCTCACCTATGGTCATGAGCTTTGGGTAATGACCGAAAGAACGAGATCGCGGATACAAGCAGCCGAAATTAGTTTCCTCCGTAGGGTGGCCGGGCTCAGCCTTAGAGGTAGGGTGAGGAGCTCGGACATTCGGGAGGGACTCGGAGTAGAACTGCTGCTCCTCCGGATCGAAAGGAGTCAGTTGAGGTGGTTTGGGCATCTGGTCAGGATGCCTTCTGGATGCCTCCCTGGGGAGGTGTTTCGGGCATGTCCTGCCGGCAGGAGGCACCCGGGTCGACCTAGGACACGTTGGAGAGGTTACATCTCCAATCTGGTCCGGGAACGCCTTGGGGTCCTGCCGGAGGAGCTGGTGGAGAAGGCCGGGGAGAGGACGGTCTGGAGCTCCCTAGTTGGGATGCTGCCCCCACGACCCGGACCCGGATAAGCGGAGGAAGACGACGACGACGGTGACAACAATCTTAAAAAAAATTAAAGATGATTACACATTTGAGTTAAAAATAAGAAAATAAAAGGTTTAGGTAAAAGCAGCTTTAAATAAAAGGTTCTTTAGCTGTTTTTTTAAAAATGTCCAGACCGTCAGTGCTACGTAAGGATAAAGGAAGATCATTCCAAAGTCTAGGTGCAACAGTCTGGAAGGAGCGATCACCTCGACTTTTGTATCTGGTCTTTGGAACTTCTAGAATGTTCTGGTGTGTGGACCTGAGGGCTCAGGTTGGAGCATAAGGCTTAAACAGTTCAGTAATATAAGAAGGAGCTTGACCATGTAGAGCATTGAAAGTTATAGTCAGGATTCTAAAATGGTTTCTCTAAAGTTAACGGGTAACCAGTGCAGAGACATCAGAATAGGAGTGATGTGTGCTCTTCTGTTTGCTCCAGTTAGGAACCACACTGCAGAGTTCTGGACCAACTGAAGGCGGTCAAGAGCTTTTTTGTTAAAACACATTAAGAGTGCATTACAGTAATCTAGACGAGAGGAGATGATGGAATGGATGACCATTTCAAGTTCATGTTTTGACACCAACCTTGGCAGTTTGGAGATATTTCTTAAGTGATAAAAACAGTTACGGACCAATGTTTTTGAGTGGCTTTCAAGAGACATTGATTTGTCAAAAACACCCAAATTCCTCAAGTTTGACTTGACGGCAGAGGATAAATGATCAAGTCTCAGGGGCAAATATCAGACATTCGGTCTTTTCAGAGTTTAACTGAAGGAAGTTTTCTTCTAGCCAGCTGCTAATAGACACTCAACCGCTTGTGTTGAAACCTGTTTCCTATTACATATGGCTTACTTTTTGTATACTTACTGGAAAGACCCCCCCCTCCATCCTCATGTCGGTTGTGTGTCCCCCACTTCTAAAGTCAAAACTACATCCATGCTCTTAAATTTGTATTATTTATTTATTTGTTCTTTATTTAACCAGGAAGGTCCCACTGAAATTAAAAACCTCATTTTCAAGGGAGTCCTGGCCAAGAGGCAGCAAAATTTAGTTAACATTTTTTCAGTTACACAGACATGTTATGTACAAAATTACAGAAGGTAGTTAAAACACAGGGAATCCATCTCAAGGGTTCTCAGTCTGGTTTTAAATGTATTCAAGGACATAAACTTGGTTAATATTCAGTTTTCCTGCAGCCTGTTCCACACAAAAGGAGCAGGGCATTCATATACAAAAGGTCTCCATAATCCAGAAATATATCTATAAATATACAATAACTTTAGCACTAATACAACAAATTACAAAAAAATCTCATTTTTATTCAGATTAGGTAAAAATGAGATTTTGCCCATAAATAAATCATTTTAAATACATTTAGTCAAATTTTAAATAGGACACATGAAGCTGTTCGATTCAGTTTGGCAAAAACAACAAAAAAACAACAACAACAACAACACACAACAATTCCTCCAAATGTTTCCCCTTCAAAACCAGTTACATAGAGACCAATGCAGGATCCATTTTTCAAATCCAGGAAAATTAAATACTATAAAAAATCATTGTTAAACTTACTTGAAACAATACAGGTGGAATTTAACCCAGCTGTGTCATGTTTTCATTTCTGTCTCTTTGTATGTTTTCAGGTTATGTCACATGTGTCCACGCTTCTCTACTTCCTGCACTCCATTTTTTCTGCCATTCGATGGAGGAGATCTTAAAAAACAGCAACCATGTGAATGATAACTGTCTCTGATCTGAACACATTTGTTTCTCTTCTTTTTGGGGTTTATTTTGTGCTATTCGCTACAATAGTGAATGAGTGAAAAACAGATGTCCTTGTAACTTATGACATCATCTGGGATTTCTTGATGAAGTTGATGACGATCAGAGAAAATTAAGAGATTAAAAAAAGTATTAAATGAAATCCCAAAAATAACTCACTTTGAAGAAAAAAGCTTCACACACAGAAAATCTCATTTTCTTTTTACCTTATCACCGTATTAGGTGTTTAGATCTGAGGCGGAGAACAGTTTCTGCAAGCCTGGCTTGCTTTTAGCACCCTCTAGTGTCCATTTTAATTCACGGTCAAAAAAATTAAACTGAAACTTTTCTCCTCACTGTGTGTTTGTTATTTTAACAACTTAATCTAACACCTGAAATGTCTACTCAGCCTTCATTGGTGTCTACAGGAGCAGTTCATAACTAAATCAAACAAATCAGCTGTGTTCATTATCTAAAATATGCAGGAGTCATGTCTCTGAGCTCTCGTAATTCAGAAAACTCCCGATGCTGACTCTTGTTTGACTCATTTTGTGGTCGGACATTCTTTTTAATTCTTCATCTTGATCAAATAATTGATTTCTTTGTTTCTTCTGAGGCTCCTTTATGATTAACATGTTACAATTTACTAACCAGGTATAGCTAATCTGTTCTGAGGTGTAAATATGGATTGCCATAAAGATTAGGTGACGTAGGTGCAAAGAGTCAATTGGAGCTGCCGTAGCGCCCGACGACCATCGAAATGGGTCTCTATTCACCCCCCAGTGCATTCATTTCTACTGAACAAAGTGCTTACCCAACTAAAAAACACATTATATCAAGCTTTTTCTAAAAATCAGACACATGGTATGGCATGACAATTAAAATATAAATATAATTAAACAAAATAAATTTAAGTAAATTAAACTACAAAATCCCATTAGGTAGGCTAGAAAGGTCAAAAGTAATCCCACATGATCTGTTTTCAATAGTAGGCTATGCAGGTGGTTGCAACCGTAGGCTGCACAAAAACAGGAACAGTTGGCCCCTCTGCATTGACTTTGGTAGAGTGAGGAGACCCATCCAATATGGTGCAACACTGTTATTCTCACAGAGATGTATACATATCTATGGTTACGCTCTCCAGTGCCCAGTGGGGCGTCTATGTATTCATATGGGGCTCAAGCAAGTTGCAAACAGGGTATCCTGTTCAAAGGGGGAGGAGAGATTTGTCATCTACCTTGTAAATGGTCATTTTAGCACATACTGGCCCAAGAAAATTGGCTTGATGTGGAGTGGAATAAACGTTATTACCAGTTAATTTTCCTACTTTTTATAAAAAAATCATAAAATGTGTTTATGACCTTTGATGATCTTCTGTATTCAGTTTCAACATGCTTGATTTTTTAAAAAAAATCTTATTTTACATGCAAATAATAGATTAAATAAAAAAATTCAGATTGTAAATATTTAAATGATTTCACTTCACATTTCAAGCCTTTGACACAAAATAAATGATGTGGATAATAAAATGTGTTGTTTATTCATTATTTCTCATAATAGAAACATCAAAATATGACATTTTAAAGGTACAATAAATACGAATTTTACAGTGAAATAATCACAAAACAATCTATCTCAATCATGTTGGAAGGAAGGTTACATTGAAACAGCTGGCTGGCGGTCAGTTTTTCTCTTTTTAAAAAAACTAAAGAGGGATGTAGCCACTGTTTACAATATTTGAGAATGTGAGGTTGCAAATTTTGCGTTAGCTAACACAGCAGCTCCTGCATTTGTAATTCGCAACCACAGCAGTGTTTTGTAAACATTCCATACCAGAACCAGGAGCGACCCAAAAGGTATTTCTTGTACCTCCAAGAATCCACGGCATCCTTTTATCTTACTCTAAAAGGTAAAGGAGGCTAGAGGCTAACGCTGAGCTAGCAATGCTAACGGTTAATATGAAACAAACATTTGGCTCTAGAAAAATCTCAAGCTACTTTTTCAGTTACCAACAACTCAATATTACAGTGAAATATATTTATCTACTCATCAACTTACTGGGTATGACTCGTCTTTGGTTCTCATTCTTCTGGCGCTGCTCCATTGCAACAGCCACAAAACTCATGGAATATCATTCAGTAAGTCCCTCATGGGCAATAGACCACTACAGTAGCCAAATTTGACCACAGGATGTCATTCTTACTTCAGAATGCACCTTTAAACAAATCGATTAAGTTAAATATTTATAAAAACACAAATAACCCCTTTAAACCACTGAAATCTCAGATTAGAAAGTATTAAATACTACTCAAAAGTGTTATTCAGCTTTTATGACAGCTGTTTCCTACAGGAGAGAAAACAATAGGACAAACAGGACGGACTGGTGTGTTTTCTACTAGCAGTATTTATGGTAAATTCATAAATTGCTGGTACATCCTGTCATTTCAGCATGACGTTCATTTTGTATCTCAAGGACATGAGCTCAAGTTTCTAGGGAAATTTTTGAAAAAATGTCCCTTTTAAAAAAAATCTCTCAGTAAACACCTAATAAACAGCTTTTTTTCACAACATGAAATATCACCAAATTATGTCACTGTGGTAAATTGTTTAGATAACATTTCTGTGAATGTATTGCCACAGATTTACAAACTACTTTGTGTGTTTAAAAATAGTACTTGTTTTCTTTTACTTAAGTAAAAGTAAAAATAATAGGGTAGAAAAAGTATTTAAGTAAAAGTTCAAAGTCAAAAGCCCCATAAAGTGTGACATTTAACTTAAGTAAAAGTATTACAAGTAAAAAATTAAAAGTATTCAACCAACACTCAAATATTTATTGTGTGTGTGTGTGTGTGTGTGTGTGTGTGTGTGTGTGTGGTATTTAAAATTACTTTAGAATTTTTTTTAGAAAATGTAGTGGAGTATAAAGCACAGATTAGGGCTGCACAATATATCGAAAAATTTTCGTTATCGTGATAACAGGACGTGCGATAGGGCCATCGCAAAGCACGTCAAAAACGGCGATAAATGTTTGGTTAAAAAATTTCCATCCGTGTCATATATCAACTTTTTGTAAACCAGCTCTGTTTTTTACGTGGAAGTATTATTTGACCAATCAAATGTAGCCCCTCTGATATGCGGCCAATCAGATGGGTCCGTTCACGTAATACGCCCGCCCCCTACGTAGACCCTTATCCCAAAATTCCACTATCTCCGCTCCGCCCCCGCTTTCCGCTGCGGCTCGCTTCCCTTGTTTGTCATGCTGGCTCAGATTAACGAACCCACTTTATGCTGAGGTTTCTGGAATCAGCGCTGCTTTCAAACATAAACGTGAGTCCGCTCGGTGTCGTTAAGCAGCTGATAATAACCGGGCTGACTCCGACACGTGCCGGTGAACCAACCCACCTACCTCCATGTCGCTAGTGTTCCTCCGGGTGGTGACGTTAGCCCCAGGCTCCGGTTAGCTTCCAGCTAAAAGGCTACAGGACTCTCCTCCCAGTCCCACCCTGCTAAAGAGGGCCTGGAAAAGTTCCCCCACACATCAAAGTGATTTTTCATTTATGAGCTTTTATAACCTTGTTAATCAGGATAGTTGATTTGCTGCTGCACATAAACTGTCAGTCAGAAGCTCTGCTAGCCGGTTATCTTAGAGAAGCTAGTTCAATTTGTTAGCTTGTTATCAGAATCATAGTTGCAGTTTCATCATCTGAGCAGCTTTTTAAGATCTAGGTAAACTTCTTCAATTTGGGGTTAAAAACAAACGTTTTCACATATTTTCCATGTAGTTTTTTTTTTGCCGGTTCCTCTTCTGAAAGGTAGACAATTGTTTTTCTCTTTCCCTCAGAAAATCTTAATATTCTCCTAGTTTGGCCCGGCACAGATCACTTCCCAATTACAGCAACAGCCTTATATCATAACCACATAAGTGGAGAAAATGTTCAGTAGCAATGAGAGAATTTGCTGTTGCATTTAAGTGATGTTAACTATTATTTAACATTTAAACTTATTTTCTGATTTTTTTTTTTATTTATTCAAAAAACCCTGGTAAGGGATGTTTTTCTGTATTTGGAGCATCAGAAAAAGTTTTATGGTGGAGGTGATGTTTTAAAGCCGCTGAGAAACTGCATGCATGCAGTTTGTTGTTTTGCTGCTAATACAGTAGCAGCTGCAGCTGCATATTTTTGCAATAAAAATGGTATGTTGTAATGGAATTCATGCATTATTTTTTGTTTGCTTTGAAACCAGAGCAGACGTCACACGCCAGACGACATCAACACTGCATACTTTAGTATTTGTTCATTTATCGTGAGTAATATTGATATCGCAATATTAAGCACTGTTATCGAATATCGCAGGTTTTCCTAATATCGTGCAGCCCTAGCACAGATAATTGCTTTAAAATGTAGTGGGGAAAATAAAAAGAAGGGCTCAAGAAAATTGCTTCAAGATGTAAGAATGAAGTAAGAATGACATGCTGTGTTCAAATTTGATTACTGCAGTCGATTTTCCTTAGTGAAATATCATTTTCTCACTGCCGGTCCGTGAGTTTCATGGCTGTTGCCAGTTAAGCCTAATTTATACTTTTCAGTCAGGACGGACACACGCAACGCCATTATCCATCCTTTCAGGGGCTCTCAGACAGGCTTGCAAGGACGGACAAAGTCGAGCTCTCTTTTCTAAACGTCGAGAAGGAGAACGCAAGCTTGTGATTGGTCGGGATACCGCTGTCGTCTACACCATTGTGCCATCAAAAACATAAAGAGAGCCGAGCATATCTAGCAGCAGACACGGAGAAGCTTGAAGAATCCCTCATGGAAAAACTCTAATATGAACATTTTATTCTCCCGTGACTGGAGGAGTGACAAGATACACTGCAAGTGGATGGAAATAATGGAAAACGTGGGTTCAGAGGTGGCGAGTGCATGAAGAGGTGGAGGACAATGAGGGACAAATTTGTCCTTGTTAAAAGTCTCTGAAATACAAAAAAAAAAAAAAAAAAAAAAAAAAAACACAACATAAAAACACTAGTAAATGCATTATCTTGGACCGGATACATGACAGGATACCACAGAACAGCGCTACTCCCTCTGTTGTCCTGGCGAGGAATTGCTTTACAACAAGTCAGAGAGCAAAACATCTCCGTTAATTCATGCGCGCCTCTCCTTCGTGGAGCTGACAGAGGAATATAAATTAGGCTTTAGCCTACGGATCAGCATCAGAAGATTCTAGATAGCGAGCAAAGACGAGTCATACACAGTAAGTTGATAAGTAGATAAATACATTGTCAAATCTGGGTATTGGGTAATTTACCGTAGGCAGCACTTACTACACATATTACGGTAATATTTCTCTGGCATTATAGGAAGTGTGGTTGTTTGCTGTCTTGCTTTTAGCTTGCTGAACAACTCATTAAAGGAGGTAAAACTCCACAACTGACTGATTATTCACTTCACACATACACTCCATTGTAATGTTGAGTTGTTAGTAATTGAAATAGTAGCTTGAGATATTTTTAAAGCCTACAATTTGCTTCTAATTTGTCGTTAGCATTGTTAGCTCAACATTAGCGTCTAGCCTGCTTCGTCTGAAATTAAAGTAAAACACAATAATTCTGTGGCTTCATAAGGGCACAAGAAATAACTTCTGGGTTGCTCCTGTTTACTTGCTGCGTCTTTAAACAACTCACAGATTGTAAAGAGTAACTACATCCCTCTTACAGGTTTTGTCAAGAGAAAAACCGACAAACCCCTAGCTGGCTGAGAATGAAATTTGTTTGAGTGTAAACTTTCTTCCAACATGATGGAGGCATTAGAATGTTTTGTGATATTTCACTGTAGAATTCTTACATATTGCTCCTTTAAGTAAAGTACAGATAAGTAAGTAAGTAAAGTAAGTAAAAGTTTATTTATATAAGAAAAGTCATACTTAAGTACAGTAACAAAGTCAAAATGAGACCATTATAAATAACTAATAAATGGTTAATACTTAATGTAATTACTGAATGGTTAATGATTACTTTATTAAAAACAAATGAGAGGTCATAATACATTAAAAATTAATAAAAGGACAACAGTGGCTGTTTTTTTGCAAAATAGTGACTTTGCTTTATTGTCTATTAAATGCTATGCAAGGTGGTTGCAATCTGAGAATCTTTAAGGGTCATAAATAAATATTTTTTAATTTAGTCAATATAAGAAATTCCCCCATTTGGATTTGCCACTATATTGCAACCATATGATCAATTGTTAGCATTAAAACATTACTCAAGACACATTGTGACTCTAAGGTTGAAGCATCTTTATTTTGAGAAGAAACTCACGTTGATGCGACTGTGTGCAAAACAAATAGAAGCAACAGGTGCTCGGCTTTCACAAAGTCAGGGTCACAACGTGAATCGAAAACTCCCTGAGCTGCTCCTCGCCTCAACAACTGTGTTCTGGAGATTTGTCCGTAGCTCCGGGGCACGAGATTCTTGCTCTAGTCGTTTTAAAAGCCTGTCACAGATCAGCAGCTCACAATAAACACCAGGCAACCCTGGGTGCAGGGAGAAGGGTGTGTCTCGTTTCTACTGGTGCAAGGAGCAGTTGTGGTAAGGCATCACACACACACACACACACACACACACACACACACACACACACACACACACACACACACACACACACACACACACAAATAGCAGAACAGGTTTGTCCGCTAACCCGGCCTTCCTATAAGGCTCAGTTACACCTGCAGCGGCACCGTTAGTTCAGAGGAGACTGGGAGAGGTTACAGTTAGACATGGCTGCTACTACTGCTCAGTCTACAGGGACCCTGCCCAGCGGAGTGGAGATATGCACGACAGCACCAGACATATTTTACCTGCCTGAACTGGTGAGGATGAAAATATAAGTCTCTTCTTCAAGTCACTGATAGAGAAAACAGTTTCTGGGATTTAGGGGGTTAAAATATATTTGTCCTTTTTAAAATCATATTATTCTGAAAAGTAGCAACAGATTTTGGTTTATTAAGCATTAAAATAGGCTGCAGTTTAAACAAAACAAGCAATAATGAAAGTTATGATAAATTTAGAATATTTTCTTAGAGAAAACAAAACTGGTAAATGTTTCTAACATTAGGTTATTTAAATAAATACAAATTAAAATATTTTAAATGTTGCTTACAAAGAATGAAGTGTTATGTGGGAGGAGTAACTACACCTCCTCTCATATTTCTGTGTAGTGTTTCGGTTACTATGATCTAAGAAAGAATGCAGCCAACAATTCCATTCTTCTCTGTGAAAGATCACAAACAGATGAACAATGATCATGTAACAAATGGGAAATTACCATTTTTGTTTGATTTCCTTTCAAACCAAAAGAATCAAACCTGCACAAAGTGAAGTCTCAAAAGCTTGGAATAAAATAGTAAATTCAACATTGTGCATTTGAATCCAACAACAACAATTTTACTTCATCCAATTTACGCTGATTATGAATTGTGCAAAAAAAAAAGTCTACAATTCTTATTTCTCTAGATCAGTTTAATTAGAATATTGAATGTGAATCAAATTTTTACCTTTGGAATACCAGAAAAAAACTCTTTGCTGTTTGGCTTAGAGAGTTAATTTGGTTTAATAGTTATTTTGGTATTTTGGTTGAAAGTGTAAACAACTAATGTCCTCTCCTAATATTCTGAAATGCTCTTATAATAGTGGGAACATGTTTGTATGCTACCGTTTATTTGATTCTGGTGCAACTAAAATCTATTAACTCAGTTGTTTCCTCTGAGCGTATTCAAATTTTTATCTACATATATTTTTATTCTCTGTCACAACATAACAATTTCAGGCTTGTGCCATATGTTACATATCTGTCATATGTTGAGATAAAACTTGAATGTTCCATTTTTTACCCAAGAAATAAAAACAAATGAAAGCAGTGGAAGAGTTGCGTTGGTGGTAGCCAACCAGAGGCGAGACGTTTGCATATAATGTATTTTGATGATAAAGACTCCAAATCCTGTCCCCCACTCCTCCAATTATCATCTACTTTCAGATACAGGAGCGCCAGTGCTTTTTTTGTCAGAAAACAACTCACAAGGCATTCATTCGTATTTGAGACCATAGAGGATTTACTGAAATAATGAGAGTATAGTACAGGCCAAAAGTTTGGACACACCTTCTCATTCAATGTGTTTTCTTTATTTTCATGACCATGGCCATTTACAAAGTGGCCAACAAGTGCTAAACACCTCTGGGAACTCCTTCAAGACTATTGAAGACTCTTGAAGCTCTTTAAGAGAATGCCAAGAGTGCGCAAAGCAGTAATCAAATCAACGGGTGGCTATTTTGAAGAAAATATAATATAAAACATGTTTTCAGTTATTTCACCTTTTTAACTCCACGTGTTCATTCAGAGTTGTGATGCCTTCAGTGATAATCTCCCAATGTAAATGGTCATGAACATAAAGAAAACACATTGAATGAGACAGGTGTGTCCAAACTTTTGGTCTGTACTCTACATCCACATTAACCTAGCACAAATAAGTGAGGGGTGTGTCCTCTAACATTTAGAAAATAAAGTGATTCTAGTTACTGATAAATAAAGATGATCTGTCTCCAAAAATTTAGTAACAAACACATTTATTTCACTACTTTGTAAGCATGAATTTGTTTTAGCTTAAATGAAAGATTTTATCCTCCAACATGAAGTGTTGTATACAGTATATGTGACTATAAAGTCTGGCCTTGACTGACAGGAAGAGCTTCGTCGTGGGGCAGGACCAACGGTTATCTTTCAAACTGTCTCTGCATGCTATTGAACAACAAACAACATCATGTACTCACCGCTGTTGATGTCAAGTCAATGGGGCAGTCTGCCATACACTGTCAAAGAAGATGCAAAACACCCCTTTTCTAAATAAAGAACTTGAAGTGACCGTGTGTATCTTCTCTGGCAATGGGGGTGGTACATAGCTAAATCATTGCAAGTAAGGTGACAATAAGGGGCAAAAATCTCTGTGAGTGCAATTTTCGAACAAGTATTTTTTCAGATTGTTCAACCTCCAGCAAAATGACAATCATACAAGACTCCCTTTAATCACTGACAACAAGTGAAGAGGTAAATGTGTAAAATGATATTTACGAATGAGAAATGTTTTGTAATCGTTTGTTACAAATCAGTAAACTTGTCATCACAGGCTCACGTAGGGGAAAGTCAGAATTATGAGAAAAAAGTGAGAATTCTAAGAAAAAAGGTCAGAATTATGAGATAAAACATCAGAATTATGTGATTAAAGTCAGAAATCTGAAATTAAAGTCAGAATTCAGAGAGAAAAAAGTCAGAATTCAGAGAAAAAAGTCTAAATTCTAAGAAAGTCAGAATTCTGAGAAACTAAGTCAAAATTCTAAGAAAAAAGTTAGAATTCTGAGAAAAAAAGTCAGAAATCTGAGAAAAAAGTCAGAATTCTAAAAAAAAAGTCAGAATTCTGAGATGAAAGTCAGAATTCAGTGAGAAACATGAAGCGTTTTGTTCTATAGAATTTTAGTTGTAGCTGCGACCACATCACTGATCATCACATGTCATTGCCCGCACAATGGTTAACATCAGATATGAATCATGAAGTTTACCTGCTGAGCATTTTCTGCAGTGACCACTCATGCATGACACGGTCAAAGCAAAAAGTTCCAGAGTTACATATATTAGTTAACATTTGGATAACCCTGCAAAATAAACAGTACCCACACAAGTAAAGGAATGTGTTTGTTTAGTCAACAGTTTGAGAGATAAGGCTGTTTATTTTTATTTTTATTTTTTTACTATTTGTTTTTTTTTATCACAGTTTAATATTTTCTAAAAGCGTGTCTAAAGACTTTCATGTGCATGCGTTTGTATGATTTTCGTCTTGCTTGTTTGAAAACGTTTTGTTCATTTGAAGAACAAATGTTTTGTAGTTACTTTAACTACAAAACAGAGAGATTTAATATGACTACATACAAGGCAAAGGAACACAATAACTTTAAATGCTGACTTTTTTCTGTATGAATAATTAATATGTAAAAGGATCTCAAACAAGAGAAAGGTGAATTAACAAACTGGTCTGTTCAACTCTAAAAATGGCGATGAAGGAGTTTAAAGAAAGGACACCTGATAAGTCTGTTCTTACGACTGAAAGACAATCAGGTCATTGCTGGTATTGAATGAAAACAAAACTGGAAATTCACGTTATGTAACTGAACCAAATCAGTCACAATTACCTGCACTGTTGCCATTACTGTTATTAATATCTGAATACTGTAACTTCCCAACCATTTATCAATCAATCAATCAATCAATCAATCAATCAACCTTTATTTATGAAGCACCTTACAGGCATGAGCATGCCACCAAGGTGCTGTACAACAGAAGAATAAAATAATAAAACATATAGCGCCACAGACATAATTAAAACCACAAATAAGAATTACAAAATATGAAACATTAGCAATTGCTAACCCACATAATTAAAAGCCAGATCATAAAAGTAGGTTTTCAGCCTCATTTTAAAAACCGCTACCAATGGAGAGCCCCTAATGGTTGGGGCAGTGCGTTCCACAGTTTCGGACCCGCAACAGAGAACGCCCTGTCCCCTCTCAACTTCAACCTGGCCTTAGGAGCCACAGCTGGTTCTCAGAGCGGAGTGACCGGGCCGGAGCATATGGCTGCAGCAACTCTGCCAAATAGGTTGGAGCCACACCATTCAGCGCCTTAAACACCATTAAAAGAAGTTTAAAATAAATTCTAAAATCAACAGGCAACCAGTGGAGAGCAGCCAAACTTGGTGTCATGTGTTCATGCTTCCTTTTGTTGTACAAGAATCTAGCTGCAGCATTCTGGACAAGCAGCAATCGGGTTACAGTACCCCTACTTGCACCAAATAAAACGGAATTACAATAGTCAAGTCGCGAGGTAATAAAAGCATGAACAACAGTCTCAAGGTCACGTCTAGATAAAAACGGCTTTACTTTAGCCAAACGTGTTAAATAATAAAATGAAGAGGATACTACAGTACCCACATCAGCATCCATGCAGCATGCACTGTCCATCTTCACGCCAAGGTTGACTGCTGAAACACCCAAAAATGAGTTCAATTCACCGCAGTCTACGTTTGAAAAATAACATGTCCACTCGGACCAAACAACAGTGCCTCTGTTTTTTCCCATTGAGACACAGGAAGTTTTCTGTCAACCATATTAATTCCTGCCAGACAATCCAAAAAATGTTTTATCATGTGATCACCGGCGCCATCTAGAGGCAAGTACAATTGGCAGTTGTCGGCATAGAGATGGAATCCAATTCCAAACTTTCGTAAAATGTTACCCAGTGGGAGAATATAAATTGAAAACAGCAAGGGTACCAGTATTGAACCCTGCGGTATCCCCCATGGCAGATCTGAGAAGCCCGATGAGAAGCCACCCATCCTCACACAAACTATCCTGCCACGTAAATATGATCTAAACCAGTTTAGGGCATCTGGTCAGGATGCCTCCTGGACGCCTCCCCGGGAAGGTGTTTCGGGCATGTCCTGCCGGCAGGAGGCCCCCGGGTCGACCCAGGACACGTTGGAGAGGTTACATCTCCAATCTGGTCCGGGAACGCCGGAGGAGCTGGTGGAGAAGGCTGGGGAGAGGACGGTCTGGAGCTCCCTAGTTGGGATGCTGCCCCCGCGACCCGGACCCGGATAAGCGGAGGAAGATGACGACAACCAGTTTAGGGCTTGCCCAGAAATTCCCACATAATGTTCAAGGCGATGGAGCAACACTTCGTGGTCTACAGTATCGAAAGCTGCTGTAAGATCCCCAGCAGCACTGGTCCTACTGCTGTTTAAAGGAAAAACATCTGCGTTTTAGGTTTGTAAACAGAAAAAAGTTGCTAACTCCATTTCCCAACTACTGAATGAGCGTGTCATTATTCCAATGCACTTTCATATTTTTTATGTTTTCTCTAGTGAAAATGATAAATGGCCTCGATTTGTATAGCACCTTCTAAGGGTTCTACAACCCCCCAAGGAACTTCACAACACAATCAGTCATCCACCCATTCACACACACATTCACATGCTGGTGGGAATGAGCTATGATGCGGTCACAGCTGCCCTTGGGGGCACCGACACTGGCGCCACCAGTCCCTCCAACCATCACCAGCAGTCACGGTAGTTTAAGTGTGTTGCCCAAGGACACAACAGCAGCATTCTCTGGTCAAAGCCGGGATCGAACCTGCAACCTTCTGATTACTTGACAACCCGCTCTACTTCCTGAGCTACTGCGGCCCCGCATTGGAGACTGTGTCACCATAGTTTTGTAGAAAATCTGCCTTTTGCATTGTTCTTTTATTCTGGCACATCCTATAACTAAACATATTGTCTGGCCATGACCCATAGACAGAGCTCAGTTGGGAGGACGGAATCTCCGGTTGTCTTTCAAACTGTCTATGTACAATTGGGCAGCACTAGGACCAGTCAAAGCAAAAGGTTCGCCATACACTGTTGACGAAGAAGTACCTGTATCTAGTCATGCCTTAAAGAAAAGCCCAAGTCTAAGTCGATGCAAAAAACGTTCATGGGCTACTGCCATTGTGCTTTTGCTCCTTCACATCACCCCCGTAATGGAGCTCAGCCCACTCAACGTCTGTCTATAAACAGAGGGCTGTGATTGGCCCAGCCTAAACTTAGCCGAGCCAATGACAGATCTACACTGGAGCATAGCCAACCTGCAGCACAAAATCTTTAGCTACAATTATGGTTTGTCTAAATTTCTAGGTTATTGTTGTGTAACAGTAAAACATCTTTGCTTTTCCTTGCAGGTATTTGGTGGTTTGGTGTGGATTCTAGTGGCATCGACCCACATTGACCCAACTAACCCTTTGGGATGGGTGATGTTTGTCTCAGTCTTCTGCTTCGTCATGACCTTCCTCTGGATGATTATTTTTGTTACTGGGTGTCATAAAAGCAGTTCTGGCTGGGCCGTTGCAGTAAGAAATAAATAAATAAACATATAAAATAGAACAAAACCAGGAAAAGTTGTGACTATTGTATTTCTTTTGTGTGTGCAGGACTTTGTTTATCACTTCCTAGCAGTGCTGTTCTACCTGAGTGCAGGAGTGGACTTGGCTTTTATCACATTACAACATAAATCAGGGGACCAAAGAATTTATCGCATTGATATTTCTGCAGTGGTGAGTATTAGGCAACGACTTTCAACCACATTTCAAAACTCCTTCACTATTTGCTTTGCTTTAGTTACTTTGCAAGAAGGATTTCACCACTTACATTTATTCCAGTCTTATTCATCATTTTATTTATTTTTGTGTTTGAGCAATAAAAGACTGCATTTAGTAAAAAATGAAGTTTTGTTGCATGTTACCAGGATCGCCTGCTGTAAATGTTCTTTTTCAGGCAGTTGAAATGTATTGTTAAATACAGATTCACCTCTCTTTTAACATCTCAGTACTTCTGGTTAGCATAAATGTTAAAAATTGATCAAAGCACCAACAAACACGATACAGTCACAAGAGTTGGCCACAGCAGGAAATAGCCATGCAATCTTTAAAAATGTAGCACAAAATGCATTAATATGGTGTTTTGTACCTATATCTGGTAAAATAGTTATTGATTTATGTGTTTCAGGTGTTTGCCTTTGTGGCCACACTTCTCTACTTCATCCATGCCATCCTCTCCGCCATCAGATGGAAACATTTCTGAGAACTCTCTCTCTCTCTCTCTCTCTCACACACACACACACACACACACACACACACACACACACACACACACACACACACACACGGAAACATAGACACAAGTACATGTGTTAATGTATCTGTGCATTTTGCTCTGTGTGTAAGGGGGATAGGAATACAGTTATGAACCTAATAGTTGTTGTAGTTTCTCATGTTTGATGTTATTAATATAAAAAAAAACACCTACTGATCATTTCCAGGCAAAACTACAAGCGTTTGATTTACACTTGGTTGTTTTTAAAAGATTCCAGTTGGATTGAGGCTTTCTGGACTGAGCACTGTGCAGTTTGGATCAGGAAGTGAATAATTAGAGAAATGTTCTCACTGTGTTTGTCTAACCCTAACCCTAATATATTTTGCATGTAGTTAAACCCTAACCCAAAACACATGAACTAATGAATCATCAAAGAGAAATGTTGTAATTCAGATCCCAATATAAAATGCATTTGAATTGATTTCTTTAATCTACAACCAGTCACCTCAAAGCGGAATACAAACATTTCATAAACAGTTGCTAAAATAAAGTCAGATGAGTCTGGCTGTGATTGAATCATAAATCAATTAAAATTGATTATGTCCTATAAAAATATTTTCTTTTGTTAATATCAGATGACTCAGAGCTCCTGGCCGTTTGTTACAGGAAATAACGGGTCTTTAGGATGTTTTATTTCAATTATGTGATATGATGTGACACTGCCACTATTATGTAAGCCAGCAAATAACAATTGTTTGATAATTAAAACCTCCAGCAAACATGCAGAGTTAGTGATTAGGGAGCAAATTCTATGTTTTTATTCATACCACTACTACTACTAATACCACCAATACTACTACTACTACTACTACCACTAATACTACGACTACTCTACAACTGCTATTACTACAACTGCTACCACCAAAACTACTACTACTCTAACTTCTACTGTTGCAAGTCCGAGCAATCGGTCAAGGCTTAGAAACAGTGGTCAGAGACAAGGGTCACACAAGGGTCAAGAGGACAATAGTTCAGGACTTGCTGGTGAGGACAGAACTAGGCAAAGGGTCAAAAGACAGACTGTCTTCTCTGGATCCACCCATGGACACACCCCTGGGCCCGCCCCTAACTCCACCTCTGGCGGGAAAAGAAGGACTGGAATGGAGTGAGAAAAGTCCAACTGAACCCAGGAGCTCTCAGGAATGCTGAAAGAAGATCTACAATTTGCTACCAACATGAAGATTTATGACCTGTGCTCTCATTCCAGGAGTGCAGCATGTAACTTTTGTGCCCTCATGTGAATACTGCATGTAGTGAAAATGATACCAAATGTCTTATGTAGAGCTAAAAAAGTGTATCTGGTAAATGACCCCTTGACCTAAACTGTCAGGAGAGAATGACTTGTGACTCTTACATTGTTTAGAGCAGTCTCAGAAATGATATAAAAGGATGCAGCTCAGATCGAGCAGGACTTCGTTCTTGGGGAGATTCTGAGAAGACAAGAGCTAGTGTAAACTAACTCTTATTTAATAATTTTGAACTAATTCCTTTGTGGGGGATAGCAGTTGTTTTTCACTTTACCCATTTTTTGTATTTTGATTTTGTAATAAAACTTTTTTGAAAAAGAAACATAATCCTGATTCTTTCAGGTTTTCTCTAAAGCTTCACGTTTGGGGCCCTGGCCATAATTGCACAGAGGTAAGCATGTCGAAGATCGGTCTCTGAATTATCAGGACTTACTTTACAGTTTATAACAGAATAATATAAAGAAACCTTAAGATAAGGGAAGTTTTAACTTTCCCCTCCTTGCGAGTAACGAGTTGTCTTAAGGGCGATAAAAGCAAAATATTCGAGGTTATTTTGGCTCTGATTGCAGGTTGAAAAAGTCTCTAATCAGCTGGAAGGTTGGATTAATAAATAAATTGATAAAATTATGATAGCCTGATCAACTCGCATAAATCATTTTATAGTTACCAACCTCCCACATAAGCTGTTAGAGGCGCAATTAATTCCGGGTAATCCAAACAATTGCTGAGAGGCTTGGCTTGCCTCCAGACTTCTCTCTAGTATCTTAACCAAAAGGTAACGAGTTTAAAAGAAGTGTAATACTCTGGGGCTGGCTATTCGTGCAAGTCATTTCACCTTTAAAATAAAAGGCAAGATTCTAATTAGGTAGTCCAAACCCGGGTCTAGTACGATTATACTCGTCGACACACCCCCGAACCCTGATGGATGCACCGTCTCATAAGTTCTAACGGAACTGGGTTTTAAAGGAACCGGTAAATGGGACGGGCACGCGACATGGCGCCCAACGTGGGGCTACAGAGCGAAGGTTCAAATATTAGATACCGGACTATTCGACGTAGAACTATGTCTTTTAGGCTGATAAAAGCTTACGCACCATGGACCTGATACGCTTATAACCTTGGAGTGAAAACCGCACCAATTTCTCGAAAAGGAAAGAAATTTGGGAGAACGGAAGATTAACTCAAAGAGGTATAAAGAAATCACGGCTTTCCGACGTAAGAAAAGCCAAGGATAAAAGCTAGGCAAAAAATAAAAAGGAATAAAGAGTAAGAATAAAGAATAAGACATGAAAACGAATAAAAATAAAATAAATAATAAAAAAGAGAAACTTTCAACCAGCCATGGCAGAGAGATCTTTAACGGTGAAACCGGAAAATGTTCTCCTTAATGTGAGATTTGTCACCGGAGAAATAGCGACATTTCAAGGTGAACCACAAAGCGTTTTAGCAATATCCTGTAACCGGAGCTTTCAGAACGAGGCCGGAACGGCTCAAGCCGCAGCGGAGCGCTGTCCGAATGCTGAAACTCAAGTAAAGAATAATCATGTATTTCCGTTAGTGGGTGATTTAGTGATTCTAGCAGAACAACAAAATGATCCTGTTTTTAATCAGATAGCGTGGTGTTGTTGGGAAAATCCAGCGAAACTCCCCACGGGCGAGCAGTATGAGATCCTTCTGGGATTGCTTGAACAAATACCAACTGGACCGGAACCTTTAGTTCTCACTCCATTTGGAGTCGGGCAGTACCGATGTGATCAGGGAGCGATGTACTCTGCTATGGCGGAGTTCGTGTTTCAACGGGCTAATAGTAGAACAATTTACTTCTTATCTAGAAGCAAAAATGAGGCAATTCAAATGAGACAGGCGTTATGTAACCGACTGGGAATCACGGAGCTCCAAGCGGAAATGTACCGGAGACGAGCTGCAGTCGAAATGTCGGACTCCTGGGATGGAGTCCAATCGGTTCCGACCGCGCCCCCTTTGTATCCAGCGCTCCGCGGGGAATTCCCTGTGGGCCCCGGTTCCGAGAGCGGATTTCCTCCACCCCCCACCGAACCCGCCTGACGCGGTTCGGCCGGCGCAGTGGAACCCGTTTCTACATGTACAAACCCCTTCTCGGGTGCCCATGAGAGGAGCGGAGAGACCGCCCACTGAACAGCATGTTGCTGCATGGGACAAAGACGAGACCCAGAGACGGTCAGGGGCTGAAAGGACTCCAAACCCAATTCCTTTTCCCCCGTTAGAACCGCATAGTCCCGCGGCTCCTCCGAATCATGTTACGATAGGTCAAGAACCGGTGATAATTTTGTCAGGCGAGAAAATAGATGCGGAGATCCGAGAAGAAGATGTGTTGATCTTTCTGAAAGATCCACAAAGTTCTGCCAGTACTACGTCCTCTTTGAGTTCTCTGAGGAGACTTTTAGGGGCAGAAAGCAGAAGCTCTATGATCCCGCTGGTAGATCGTAATTACGAAGCTGGAGAAATTACTACTCTCTTAGACAAGCAATTAGGGAATCTGGAAGGTCGTGTCAGCGCGATTTCCATAATTAACTTAGACCCTCATAATCCCGACATCTCTTTTCACCAAGCTTGGGAGCGGGTGGTGTCAGAAGCCTTGGATTTAGGAGCGCGACGGCTAGTGTTTAAGCTTAATAACAAACCCCAGGTGTGTCGGATAACTGAAGCATATGGCGCAGGTTTGGTGATTTATTCCGAAGCCTCTAGCAGGCTAGGAGACATCCCGGTCATAATTTTAGAGGATAAGTCAGCCTTGCCGCGAGTAGAGAAGAAAGTCAAACATTGGTTTGAGGCCAGAGACAGAAGCAGCGAGAGTGAGGCTGAATCGGAGGAAGAACAGGGTTCCCAACTGGTGGTGCGTGGCACACCCAAAGGGACGCTCAGGTCAGAATGCGGATCCCAACAAAAATGCAGCACTCGGATCCCTGGAGGCAAAACACCTGAAAAAGTGAGTTGGTTATCCCCAGTTACAGCCCATGAGCAAGGTGAGAACAGAGAAAATGTAGAGCAGCAACCCCAGAGAGCAGAAAAAGGAGATGAGACAAATCCTATGGTTTATGGCATTAGAGGACTAAATAAGAAAAGCCGTCCAGTACAGATGAAATATTATGACCCTCAGGCACCTCCTAACATAGGCCCAGTTAGACCGGTTCCAGAACCAGGACGAGGCCAGTTTGCAATTAATACAGAGGGAGACCAGAATTATGCAGGAGAAGAAGCAGAAAATCCTTTTCCAGACTGGTACCCTGTAGATGGCTTCACGGCTTCAGCAATTCAAGCAGCAAAAAGTAGGGAAGAAGTCATGTTACAATCAGGATGGGGTCAACCTTTTAAGCATGCTTATTTAGGCCAAGGATATGATTTTTATCGAGGTGGATGTATGGCTAGAGATTCGGCAGTGAAAACTCACTGCTACTCGCCGTGCAGCCCCTCCCAACCTTTGGATGCAAACCGAAGCACTCCGCAGGGAGGACAGCTTAATTCAATGCCTAAAGAGAGAATCCTAGAACAGGAATATTCCCCATATTGGCAAACTGCTCAGGAACAGTCAAGAGTAAGCTTAGGACATTTTGATCATACCATTCTGCCACAAAGAGCATTGGGTGAGACAGACGCTGGTTATGTACAGAGACTTCAGGATCGAGGTATGACGATTGAACAACTTTCAAGTCCAGAAATTTCTCAGGTTATAGCATTAAAGAACGATCTGCGTTTAACCCCAGGAGCCTCGTTGATGTCCCTGGCGGAGAGTTCTCCCAGAGGGATTGGTGAGGATTCTGGGGAACGACGGAGGAAAGCTTTAAGCGCTGAAATCAGTACAGGAAAAGTTACATTAGCTGGGTGTTTGGGAACAATCGCAGGGCTTTCCCAAGTACAGCAGGAAAAACTTTTAGCTGATCTGCCCGGGGGATTAATGATGGCTGCGATGTGGCCTAATCTCTCTCCTGCAGAAAAAATCAGACAAGCGCAGGCGTGGGATCGCACAAGGGAATTTAAGCAGTCAAAAAACGAATTAGGACGGCAGGCCGGAAACAGATTGAAAGGTCAGATACCATCCCCTCTGCCCCCTCCATACCAACAGCAAGGGAGCCAATCAGTGAGCTCTCAACCGAGGCAACTCCCACCCAGAACAGAACCGAATCAGAACCAGAGAACCAGGGGCCAAATGGACCCAAATGCAAGGCCGTTTTTCATGGGACCCCCCGGCTGCCCTGTGGCTCGACCCAGGAGAGCGAATCCGGAGGAGTGGGCCCGGATGACCAGAGAACAGAAAGAGAAATTGATCCAATCAATCAAAGATTGGGACGCGAAATACCACAATCAGAGAAGACCGCCACCACAAAAGTAGAAATAATTGAGGCGCTCTCATCTCATACGCATTGGGATGGGGAGTGGCTTAAAGTAAAATACGAAAATACAAAATACATTTTAGATACCGGGGCATTAATATCAGTAAAGCGTGAAAATAATCCGATGGAACAAATAGGATACAAGAATGTGATACTCGCAGACGGCTCTGTACGTAACATGGCAGTTCATAAAGACGAACAGGGCATTCTTTACATAAAAGGTGCAGAAAACTTAATTAGTTTAAAGGATTTAGTATGTGAGTTTTTTAGGTG